GTTAACCTTTGAAGACACTGAGTATCATTTGGTCACAACATAGTAATATTTTTAATGGAGTCAGATCCCTCTATCAACGAAATAATGGGCTTCTAAAAGTCGTATGAACCCTAAGTCTGCTTTTTTAGTGACCTTTTTCAACCTGTATCTCTAGTATAATACTTTGTGTCCACGAGCATTCATGTATTTGTAATTAATCTTCATTTGCTATTAGGATGAGGCTGTTAGTTCTATTCTCAGTCGTATGGAAAAACCTGTAACAAATAATCTGATCCCCCAATACAAACATGATTTGGCTTTAGAATATGTTTTGGCCTCTACTTTGGTTGCAGACTCTTTACGTTGTATAAAATTGGTTTCAACTCGTTTTTACAAAAATGATTGTGGTGTCGGCTAGACATATTTAATTCACATTGTCCTGAGTACTCTACCATATTAGTAATGCTAATTTGCCAGCGTCTCCGTGGTTTGGCCTCGTTCTCAAATGGTTCGCTGGCTGCAATTCATCGAAGTTAATCCTCTTAGCCACCGTTCTGCGACCGGTTGTGGATTTCTCCCCTCCTATTTTGGTGCATTTACATTATCTTGGGGCAGAATCCTCATACCTCCTCAATTACATACCCATGCTTAATCGTGTATCCTTTAATTTAGATTGTGTCCGTCAGACCTAGAGGCTTGTGTCCTGGACCCCAATCCCTTAAGGGCCAACTGACTGAAATTTAGAATTTGATTACTTGGCTTTTCTCCTATCATTGCAGTCTGGGTTCCTTTTATCCGCCACAAGCCTTTTCTTGTTCAAGTTTTGTTCTTGATTAATACGGGATCTTTTTTGCTGGCCCTGTTGATTTTTGACTATTTCAGTTTGCATAAACAATAACCGATTTCATTGCTGATTCTTTCACATTCCGACATCCTGTTTATTGGGTTCTCTCGGGTGATAATTTTACAAATTCCCTAATCTGCTTCATTGTATTTTCTCCGTATAAGGTCAATCCTTTGCTGTATTCTATATCCTTTTCTGCTATTTCCGACCCTTTACTATACTTGCTGAAACTGAAGCTATTCCGTTAATTTCGTTCATTTATAAAATCAACTACATAATCGTTTCGTTACCTCTCCAAGAATATATATTGCAATAAGCACTGCTATCATCATAGATCACTTACTATAAATTAAGGACTGGTGTTTGAATTCTCCAACAATCGAATGAACATGCCTCAAGCTGCCATTGATTTTATCTTATCGAAAAGGTTTTCTCATCCAGGTTTGACTGCAGATTCTACTCTATCTTGTTCTCATCAGCATCCCAGATTGCATTTGAAACCCGGTCAATCATATCAAATGATGAAATTCTACCACTACTCCCCATAGTCATGAGCGCTTGTGGGTTATAGGAAGGATAGGACTTACAAAATGACTTAAGCGTAATTCGGCCATCCCCTGCATCTGGGTGATTGATTCGAGGCTAAAACCTCTGAGCAAGTCTCATGCTCACGCCTGTGCTACATGGACCACGTCTCTGGTAAAACTGTCAGCCAACTTGCTCCAGTCTCCGCCGCGTCTATCCTATTTCTATCCCTAATACCAAGTTTATGACTTGCTATGCCCTAGTCTCTTGTGTGCCAACCCACAAATGTTGTGGTACTGTTTACTTTGATTAGGCTCAATGGTGAACCACAACGCTTTTTGGTTGGCACGCAAGATACTAGGGCATGGAGAGTCATAGACTTGGTATTAGGGATAGAGACAGGATAGACAAGGCGGCGATTGGAGCTAATTGGCTGACAGTAGGTTTTATAAGATACGTGGTCCATGTAGCGAAGGCATGACCATGAGACTTACTCTGAGGCTTTAACCTCGAATTAGTCACCCAGACGCAGTGATGGGCGAATAACACCTCGAGTAGCAGAGATGGGGAGCAAGGGTCGAGTGAAATACGTGTACCAGTGAGATAGCAGACGGATTCTACGAGGCAAGAATGAGACTCTGATAGGACCCAGAGAAGGACTACGTAACAATATGACAGACTCTGGTAAACATTCTCAGCACAAGGGTGAAGGTGGTGAGAACGACAGCGTGGAGTGTAAAGGGATTTCATGAATGACGCTCGAAGGAGCACACCCCATTACATCAAAATAAACACGGTAAAAATTGTTACAGGGAAGGCGTGATAGGAGGATATAGAAAATGTGAATAGCCCAGGGCAGAAGGGGAGATACCACAATTGTTTAGCACACGTTTGGTCAAAGGATAGGCTTATTTGTCTCTGACGAGTTGCTTTATGGTGCTAATAATGGTGAGACTAACTGATGATGCCGGCGAAACGTTTGGGAATATACCACGTCTAGGGTCCGACTTTGGAAAGTATTATGCATACAATGGACTCCGGACTAGGTGCGCTCCTCTAAGTCTTCCTAAAGATACGACCAAGTTGCGAAAACAAGGTCAAACAACCTCTATACGATGAAAGAAGACTGCGACCACACAAAAGGCCACACCATCTTGGTCTTCATACTTTCGATTAACACAATATTGTTAGCATCCCCGTGCGTCATTTTGTGTCCCCAGTAATTGCATTTGCTTATTTTATCACATTCTTATATTAGGCTTGAAGCAATTTCTATGTTCGTCTTATAAGCAATGGAAGAAATTTGGTAAATATAAATACGTCTGAATTTTTTAAAATAACTCTTATCACTTCAGAAATATTTGGGCATCCTGAAGGAAGCTCGCGAGCGTAATCTAGTTGAACGTCACGCTGAATGGGTGCTTAACTGTGAAAAGGCTCGAGCACAGAAACTTGAAGAGCTAAAGGCTCGTCAGGAGGCTGAGGCAAAACGTGCCGAGGAGGCGTCTGAAGCGTTGCTTGCTCGAGCTGCTGAGGATGAGGTTGCAGCCAAAGAGAGAGAGCGGGAGCGCCGAACACTTGGATTTGGTGATCGTCAGACGGGTGATATCAATGGCATGCTAGGCCCAGATGGGCTGCCGTTACGGCGCGGCTTCCAAAGAGGCATGGAAATTGAAGCCAAGCGTAGTGAGTGCTAGCTTACCGTCTCTTATTCATCATTATATGACGTATCATTATTTACGTGATCTACCTACTCTCTTGATTGATGTACTTGACCTAATTTTTCCTAGAATGACTTGTAAACGCTCAGGCATCATAAGATCTGCTTCATCCACGAGCGACAAAGCGATTTCATAAATTGTAAGCGTGTAGTGAGCGATAGGCAAATTTACTTGTAAATATCCACTATACTGTACTAAGGGAGATGTGCCCTAACTGACATCTAGAGGATGCTGGTAGGGTCTGAAAGCTTTTCAGCCGATTGCAGCGATGGTCTCATGCCTATAATTCCCTCCTTTTATCTCCTTTTTTACTTGACAAACAAATCCTAGCAAACTGGATGAATATGCTGTCTCTACTATCGGGCTTATCCGAATTTTAGGACTATACAAGATTTGCTCAAGTATAGCAAAATACATGTAGAAAAATTGGTTTTAGAAAAATCCCTTTATAAATTAATGTCGGAGGGAAGAGATTCGAAGTTGGTCTTACCAGAAGCTGTAAAGGAATTGCCGTATAGCTAGGATTATAGATTTGTGCTAATAGGTCCTCGGCACATCGCTATGCAACCTCGATTAATTCTTGCTGGGCTTTCATCGCCATATGATGAACACCGTGCTTTACGATAATTTACCAAGCAAAAAGACAATAAAGGTGGCCGGCTGCAATATAATCCACTTTTTATAGTTTGGCTATGTCCATTTAGTGGGACATCTTTTGCTTTGGTTGGAAATCCTATACTTTTCCCATATGCTATTGTAAAGTGAAGTAGCTGCAATTGAACCGTGAAATAAATGCAATTGTGGTTCACAGAAGACGTCTCCTCTGCTTCTGTTTGTTCTTTTCTCGTCCCCCTGCGTTCTCTTTTCCTATAATTTAGGATATTACCTTGATCCAGTCGTCTTTTTTTGCTGATCTTACTGTTGCTGGGTCTTTTCCGAGTTTGTTTAGGCAATATGCAAAATTTTCGCTGATCCTACCTTCTTCAAGTTTTCTGTTCATTAGATTTCTCTCGGTCAGTATTTCGATGGCCAACCTTTCGGTCGATTTGCAGTCGATTTCGTGCCCCGTAAGTGCAATGTGTTCCGCTATTTCTGATCTGTTCGTACCCATGTTTCTGCAGAGTCTTTGATGTTCCTTGATTCGTAGGCCGATTTTTCTTCCTGTTTCACCGATATACTTCTGCTCACAGTTTTCGCATTTGATGCGATAAACTCCCGAGAAATTCATTATGTCCATCTACTCGTGTTGCGTCGGCAGACTGGTGAAAAGTGTTTTCTTCTTTGTTATAATCTTGATATTCCATTTCCTTAGTAACGGTCGCAATTGTTGGCACATTTCTGATGAGGGCAGGCAAATCCACTTTTGGTTGTCATCCAGATTCCTGATCTGATTTTCATAAAATTCAAGTTGAAATCGGCCCTTCATTGAACCTAATCAAAGCAAGCAGCGCCACAACATTTGTGGGTTTGCACACAAGAGACTAGGGCATGG